AAAGCACAAGGTAGGAAGAAATGCAAATACAAATGGTCCTCAGGAAAATAAAGGCGTTTTTGGGTAGGCTGCTATGGAATGCCATACTTCCTAAAATATCAACTAAACTCGAACTTCAGTTGATTAGCGAATGTCTGATTTAGCTTGTGCATGTAATCCGCGTTTATGAATTCACGTGCACTTGCGGGAGCAAGTACATTGGAAGGACAGAAAGAAGGGCTTCTATCCGGTTTTCTGAACGTATTCCCAAAAACCTGTGCCTAAAAGGAAGCAGATATTCCCAGAGTGCAATTACCAGACACATTATTGATACCGGACATCTCGTAGAGATTTCTAAGTCCTTCAAAATATTAAATAGACAAAGGACAGCAAATTTACTACGATTTGCCGAAGTGATCGCAATCAAACGATTTAAACCAGACTTATGCATACAGAAAGAGAGTGTGATTAACCTCTCACTCCCTTGGTAACAGAATTTTGATTTTGATTAGTCATCTAATTCAGTGATCTCAACTCACTGAACAAATCTTAATCTCATAAACTGTAACCGTTTTTTGTTTCTTGAGTTGCTATGTGAACCTACAAGCTAACACTGTTCTGTTAATCAATTTTTTCTGTTTTCTGTCTTACCCCTCCCCCTCTTTTCAACTTCAAAAACGTATAAATTGGTGATGAAAACTTAAACTAAAAACATTGTAATGCTTTCATTTAAATGCGTCAATTTTATAGTATCTCTTTTCTACCACCACTCGAACATTAAAGTATGTTATTATCATCTATATAACCATTGTAATTTCAGGTAGTCTGCAGATGATGAGAACCTGTGAAATAGAATGATATCATTTTATACCGCAAATTTTGTCTTCCTTTCTTCATCGAAATTTATCAAGGGAACCAAATGTAGGAAAAAATCTTTTAATTAAACAGATTTCAAGATAAAATAAATAATCCATCAAAAGTGAATACAAAGAATTGAAGGCTTTAGTCATATTTTTACAGAATTATATCTATCTTTTTTTGGCTGAATGTTAAATTTATGGTTTTCTGTTAACCAGTAGGAAGTTATGAACTTGTTTCGTTTGTCTGTAGCATCACGTCACCATAGTGAGCCAAAAATACGAAGTTAAAGGAAATATTGCCGTTATTTTTTTGATTAATACATTTTCATAGAATACGATGGAACACGTTATAAGTACATTCCACGTTGTCTAGCCGTAAAGCTATAAATACGCACACCAAGTAGACCTGTATATTTTTTTACAGAAATTGATGTACATAAGCAGTAAAATTACTGTAAGGATTGTAAACACGTGCATGGAAGTTAAGTGACCAAGCCTCAAAGTAAAAAAGCCGCTGAGTACAACTTTTCTGAATATTCATACATATTCTGTGATGTCTTATCCTCTGACTGACTATTTGTGTAAAATAATATTGAATTTACCATATTAAAGAGTGGAGTAAAGAATATAAATTAAAGTAACCAGTTCATCAATTAGACGATTTGCATAACTATATAAACAAGAGGTTGGAAAGTGAAACTAGCACACATGGTATCAGTGTTTTGATGATTAGGCTAATCTACATTAAACTGTACCATATTAATTGGTAAACTTGGAATGAACATTAGTGAGGTACTTGAGAAACTAAAGTTCAAACTGTGAACGTGGTATTTTCTATGGATATGATAAAAAATTAAAGCTTAGCAATACGTGTCTCTCAACTTATATTTGATATCATTGGTACAGACCTTTACTACTTATGTGAAATACTAATATTATGCACAGTGATATTGTATTCTTGTTACAGAACGTGATTATATCCCCCTATGGGTTTATAGAACGCTGAAAAGAATGCTTTGGTCTCCTAATGATCAATGCAGAACTATCCAATCAGTGGCCTTGTCATAATGTCATGTGTACTGCTTAGGAGGCGATCAACACTACTTACTCATTGATTGTATTAAATGGCTAAAAACACTCACTAGCTAACGTTTTAAGACAATTAGTCCCTTTTATAAATTTGGACAGTGCTATTAGAGGACAGAGATTATCTGAAAAATGGAATGTGTGTTTGCACAATACACTTCAAGCACTCTGATCGCACATTTACTTGTCAACTCTAATTATACAAAGAAAATGAAAGGACAATAAGGATTTATGGTTAATAAGAATAATTAACACAATATTTGGTAATCCAATCAGATTTGGATTACCAAGGTAGGTTTCTGAACAATTTACGTTTATGAATAGCTATAGGGAGTGCTTGGTCTTCACAATAGATCTGTTCCTTTTTTTACTTTTAAGAAGATGTATTGGCAGACTTAGTTGAATACTCTTGTTAAATACCCCGAAATTTAATTCTGACCTACAGGCTGTTTATTTTATAAACATAAACTACTACTGAATATGTAGAATTCGGGCATTATGAAAGAATTTCATTCCATATTAAACTTATTTTATACAACATACAGCGACACAATGCTGATAACTGGTTGACGTTTTCACTACAACTTATTACTCATAAGCAGACCATCATCATACAACAGAGGCTGCCAGCTTAGAAAATGGGCTACCAAAAGTTTCATCATGGGTGTCGACGTATATGAGAAAACCATATCTTAGATATATCTTTGAATCTCAAAATGTTCTCGTGAATTCTTTATAGCTGGCTGCCGACTAAATGGTGTACATTACAAATTATTTAAATTAATCCCAGCATGTTTAAGAAAATCAAAAGAAGATTTTTCTGAACGTTCCGCTGTGTAAACCATAGCTTCTTCAGCAGATTTATCTGAATTCTTATTAATCATCAAAATATATAGCCAAAAATTTATAATCTAAATACTGTAAAGTTCTCGAAGGATAAAAATAAGAAATATTATAATGGGCCAGAAAAGTTCAGCAACAGGGATCTCTGTCAGTGAGCTAACTAACCTAGCAGGAACCGATTGTGAAACAAATAGGCAGGAAGAAATGGAGATAGACTGGCCATACTCTGAGGAAACCATCAAGTGACATCACTAGACAAGCCATTGCTCGAGTGGAACCCAAAAGGGAAGCGGCGAGTTGGTATGCCAAAGGTGACTTGGATGAGGTCATGCGAGGAGGAGATGAAAGCATGTGGGCAGACTTGGGGCGGGGTGAAAAAGTTGGCAGAAAACAGAAGGCAGTGGAGGTACGCAACTGAAGACCTATGTTCCTCTAGGAATTAAAGGATAAAATAATAATAATAATAATAATAATGGACTGCTTTGCGCTAAAGGCCAGACGACATTATATCACGAGATCTGTTGTCAATTATTATATTACCTAGAGATCATAGATGAAGAGGAAATATCATACAATAAACTTCGATAAAAATTCTGTGTTTTTGATATGAACACTGACAAGAATAAAGCTACTATTTCTATTATTATTATCATTAAAATGTATTCACATGGATTCATTACTTACTTTATATAGTTTTGCTCTTCTCCTCGTTATGCATTATGATTCTCGGGATATCTGGTTTAGACATGTTTTATTTCATTTACACCTGCTTGGTAGTGACTCTATAAACAAAGATTTGGACAGAGAGGTCAATCATCGAATGTTTCTCCTTCGAACCGACATCACACGTGCAACTGAAATGATGCAATGCTTATACTGGAGATCTGGAAAATTACAGTGGACAACTAGGGGAAGAACAAAAGTATATAAAGCAAATTATGTAAGTCGCATGAATACATTGATTTGATTATGAGCCATAAATTGTGCTCCAAGCCTTATCTAGTTATCAATACTCTAACCATTCTTATGTTATGTGAAGAGGAGATGAAAGCATGTGGGCAGACCTGGAGCAGGGTGAAAAAGTTGTCAAAAAACAGAAGTCAATGGAGGTGCGCAGCTGAAGCCCTATGTTCCTCTAGGAACTAAAGGATACAATAATAATAATAATAATAACAAACTCAAGTCTTCAGTTTATGATCATATTGCGAAAGTGGGCCTAAATTCCTCTCTTGTCATTTACCAAAATTAGAATAAGAATAAAGATTGACAGAAAACATTTGCACTCCTATCACCAATCTATTTATACCAACGACAAGTACTGGGTTTGAACCTCATTGGGAACACCACCACTTCACTCACCGGGGAGTGCAGGTATATCCGGATGATGGGCCTCAAACAGGCCGCCATGCCCATCTGGATTCCACTGCTAGCTACTATCCACCAATTTACTTCAATTTAAATAATTAGACATCATTGAACCATCTGCACAAGGAGCCGACGTGTCAAACTGAGGCCAAGCACTTTGGTCCAATCAATCAATTTTTTCACTTCACGTTCTCAGTGGAACATAGGGCTTCAAGTTAGACTCTTGAAGTTTCTATAGCAGTGTTTAATTTTGCAGGATGGAGTCGCTAGCTCTATGCCCAACCTTTCCTCTTTACCAGCATTATTTCTGGCTTAGCGAGGTAAAGGAGTGCGTCGGTGGCCGGGGATCGAACCCCGGACCATGTGCTTGGTCGGCGAGCGTCCTAACCACTATGTCACCGATGCACAATCAATCAATAGGAAAGTCTTAACTAAATTAAGATAAAAAATGCCTATCTTTTGTCTAAAATATGAGTAAACATAATATGATATGAGTTCGAAATGAAGACTGGTATTATTAACAGCAATCTGTGGGGAGTTTCTTCCACCTGCTTTTTATTATCACTTTCTCAATATAATCACTTGAGCATCGAGTGTACGCAGAGTTCTTCAACTATACTAACACGAGTACACACAGATATTTGATGTTTGCGTGTGTGCGTGCATGTGCTTGGTGTATATTTTTATGTTGTGTGTCACTTAATTATATAACTGACTAGTATAAAGTATTTCATCTCTGACAGGTATCTGAAAATGCCTGTTTGTGATTTGGTATGTCTGTATTTCTATACATCAAACTACAGAGTATCCATTTATTTATATGTATATATATATATATACGCACTAGACTAGCTTTGAAGGTAAGGTTGTTTATGTATGGCTAAAATTGGGATACACCGAGAACACACACCACCCATTCATCTGCTGCGTGTCCGCATTTTCACTCAATCATTTTCAGTTTATTATTCCCCTAATTTATGCAATAATGAGTGCTCTGCGATCAAATCTAATGGAATGCAACAAATCAAGTATTAAAAAAAATATAAAATACTTAACGTGACATTCTGTTGCAAATTTTATTTCATTTAAAAGGAAAGTAAGAAAAAGAAAAGAGAACAAAGGATTAAAAATACTCGGTTTTAAGAAATAAATTCACTAGTAAATAAATCGTTTGTTTCGTTCCATTTTCATTTATAGCAATACAAACTAAACTGGAATATTTGAGTATTTCCCTATACCATCTTTATGATCAAATAAAAAATGAATGCTTTCTTGCACTCTCCACTGTTATGACAAACGATGTATTGGTCCATAGATCACAGATACTATCAGTTACATGCTTATTGTAAAATATCATCGAATTTAATTCAGTGGATGAATAGCGAGGAAATATAACGACCTGGAATAACCAATACATTAATTCTACATAAAACTGGTTAAATCATAGAATGCAGCGATATTTACCAAACTTTGCATACAAATTCAAAATTTCAGTAATCACTTCATTTATTCTCCATATCGTTTTAATATGTAATGCTAAATCCTCCGAAATAGATATTATCACAGCACCACAAGATGTAACCTATCTGAAAACAAGTGCTTCAGCTGAGCACTTGTCTCTGAGAGCTGACAATAATCACAATAAATTTTTGTCATTAGTGAACAGTTCAAATAATGATGAATGCATCAGTGAAAATACGTCTGTATTAACAACATCTATCATTTTTATTTTATCTTTAATAGTTGCTTTGGCTACAGCTGGGGGAAATTTTCTTGTTATTCTTGCTGTGATACTTGTGAAAAAACTTCAAACACCCAGTAATATTCTAATCGGTAGTTTAGCATTCAGTGATTTTTTTGTAGCATTATTAGTTCTACCATTCACAATAATTGATGCATTTAAAGGATACTGGCCATTTAATGAAGGATTATGCGATATGTACATATCCTTTGATGTTCTTTTATGTACTGCTTCAATTCTTAATCTTTGCGCTATCTCTATTGACCGTTATTTAGTTATAACAAAACCATTAACATATGCCAGTAGACGAACACCATGTAGAATGGCTGCTATGATAGCTGCTGCATGGATTGGTTCAGCTTTGATTAGTATACCACCAAATTTTGGATGGAAAGAACCCTTTCAAAAATGTGCTTGTGAATATAGTAAAAATGTTGGCTATCAAGTGTATGCAACATTTTTTGCATTTTATCTACCCCTTTTTGTTATGATCATTCTTTATGGGAGAATATTTAAACTAGCCAGAGAAATGTCACGTACCGGTCATACACAAATGACACCAAGTACAGCAAGAAAGTCGACTGGAATACAGGAAAATGCCTACATGGATCCAAAAGTAGGGTGTATCACAGATCAGCAAGCACAGAATGAGCTACAGTTCACGGAGACCAGTACTGCTGATGGACACAATCGAACAAATGAAAATGTAAATGGTGTTAAAAGTGATAAAAATGCGAGTATTTGTTGTGAATCGCGAGAAAAATATGAAAGACTGAATTCGAATTCATCACGGAAATTACTAACTGACTCAACAAATCTGACAAATGATATAAATGTAGAGATTAACAGACGACGATCACGTGGGAATTCTGATACGAAAGTAATTAAAACACTTGGAGTTATTATGGGATGTTTTTGCCTTTGTTGGCTTCCATTTTTTATGATACAAGTAAGTGTTTATTGACTTATTATTACAAACATGTTTTAATAGTTGTTTATACACAGTGATGCACTTATATTAACTTCGGTAATATTTGACGATCAAATATTTTGATGTAATTCCTTCTCCAAGATCAACCGAAATTCCGACATACATTCAATGATCCTTTCAGGAAATTTTAATGGAAGTCATATATAATAATTTCAGTATTCTATTTATCATAGAAAATAAAATCCCTTACATTATACACTTTTAGGTAAATAATACATCCATCTACCAAAATAAAAGGGAGTGGTTTAACAGCCCCTTTAAGTGTGAAACTCATAAGGTGTCAATCGATGTACATCTTATTAAAAAGCACACACCCTGAAGACATTAGTATAATGACTGTTTTAGCATCTGCGTCCTCCAGAGGACATGGTGGATGGCAAAGTAAATGATTCTGATGCCACTGGTTCGAGTCCCTATAGGCGTTATTCATTATATTATTATTCATATTCTCTGTAATATATATTCAGCCCCATGCAATATAATCAACTTTTAAGTATCGTTCAGGATATTCGCTAATTTATTGATGGTACAATCCAAGATGTATCATATTCTTTAAAAATGGTCCCATGTTTGTCAATTGTATTCGACTGAATGCAGCATAAGGCAATATTTTCTTGTAAGCAGGAATCATAGCTGCTTTTTTTAACCAACGTAAAAATTATATGTATCAATACTGTTAAAACAATACTAAGAGAAAATCATGTTTTAATCTTCTCCCTTAGAGTATGCATATCCAAATTCAATGAAAAATGTAGGCATATTTATGTCATTCTTATGTTGTTTTAATCCAACCCATTGTAAATCAAATACAAATCTATATTAGGCAAACTACAGAGTGAGATTTGATGTAATTATTTCCTTTTATGAATTTCTACAAAACAATAAGAAGACGTAATTTATCTGAAACGTATAATGTATTTTGCTCAAAAAATAAGTGGTAGGAAGATGATGGAAGAATGTGGGGTAACAAAAAACAAGGGAGACGGTGAAAGTATTACTAACAGAATTGAACCTTGGTTCTAAATTGGATTACCAAGGTGTGTTCAGAGTAATTACAATTAATTTTTGAATGCATAAAACACGTTAAGGTCTTTCTGTGGTCAAGGCTTCAATGAATTTAAATATGTAATCCAAACCTGTTTTATGTAGAGGTCTAAAGGTATTACTGAAATTAAGCCTGTGACCTGTCTCTGTGATGTGCTTTGCAGAAAGCGATGTTGAACATGTATTTGTATTTATTACATCTGTTGGAATATGAAAACCGAATCATTTACACTGATTATACAGAAGGCAGCCTTGTTGTTCCCAAATAGCCTGTTATACGAACTAAACTATGAAATTAGGACATGAAAAGAAAAAGGTTGAAAAAGTTTTGTATTACGCGTAATTCAAGCCTTTTTGTTATAACAGTTGAAGCTCCATTACTACACTCTTCCCTGCCTAAATAAACGTACAGGAAAGAGTTAAAAGTGAATGTTCAGTACTATCAAGATGTTCAGTTATTACACTTCTGAGAGATCTTGTTTTACTCACAGCGTGCACATAAACCATGCAGGTAGTTCTGGGTCAGATCTCTGGCTGCTGAACTCGTCTGCCTTGCTAAGCTGGTAGGATGTCTGGAAAAGAAGGGGACTGGCTGTTTGGCTGGTAAACAAATTCAGTAAAAAAAGAATAATATCACCTCTACTGAAATTTCAAAATGAAGGCTCGAGGTACTATTTTCCACTAGGAAGGTTAAAGAATAAAATTATAATAAAACATTGGGGATCCCCTTATACTCAGTGCCCAACCAGGAGACTATTGCCCACTAAAAACAGTGGTTAGTACTAGTGTCAATCAATTGACTTGTATAGTCTCAGAGGTGAAAAATCAATAGTACAGGATTTCACTGCAGAGGAATATCTGTTCAGAAATTTGAGATATATCTACATAATGGAGTCAAATTTAAGTCATTTTTGAAGGGGATGCTTGATATAATATCTACTTATGTGCAGAAAACGTCAAACATATAAAATGTTTCTATTCTGTTTGTTATCTCTCAAATTTCAAATAATGGTGATTTAACTCTCCCGATCTTCCTTAATGTTTCTTGCGAATTAGCATACCTTTGTGCATTTGCTGGTTGGTACAGTGTTATATATAGGTCTACCACGAGAACAGCTTCTTTTAAATGTAAAACATGACAATTAACGAGGCAATATTCTCCCACCGCGTGCAATCAGTAGATATAAACACAAAGTGCTGAATTTGGCTTTGATCTCAAATAGAATGACATTTATATGCACATCGTGAGTCTGTGGCGCAGAAGTAGAATGCTCGCTAACCATACATGTGATTCAGGGTTCGATTCCAAGCCGACGCAATCGCACACTTCGCTTAGCTGGTTATAAGCCTGGAAAATAGGGAAGGTTGGGCGTCAGGCTAGCAATCTCATCCGGCAAAAATAAACGTTGCTGCTACTGAAACTTCAAAGCTTTAGTGTGAAGTCCTCTGTTCCATTGAGAATGCAAAAGAACAAAGAAAATAGTAAATGCACACCAGTATAATTGATATAAGGACAAAACTTGGTCCCTGTGGTAGAGTATACACCTATTATGGGTAAAATTTTATTGTGATAAATTCACACAGTGCTTTAATATATGATTATGAGCCATAATTTGTTCTAGAAACATTATTACTTAATATTACTGCATAACATTGTATAATTTTATCAAAATAAAATTATATCCATAATGCTGCACATGAGTATAGTTTTATCTCTCAAATTCACATATCTCCATATTTAGCCAAAATATTGTTATAAAGTGCTGACGTCTAGTATGTTGTCTTAACCTTTAGATAAACTGAGCTTCCGTGTCCTTATCATCAATTTTAGCGGGACTGCTGGTAATAATACTATTTTTATAACAATTTTGACACCAAACCATTGTTTATACTCTTTTTTTATTAGCCTTTAATTTAATTACATAAGATTATCAAAACCGTTACAAGTGCTATGGTAACGACTACTTAAGGACACATTATCTGGAAACACGCGAAATTTGTTCTCATTAGGGATATATTTGTGAATAGATCAAAATAATAGTAATAATAAAAACTGTAAATTAGGTTAATATAATATTTTTGGTTTGGTAAATTATTTAACTATTTAAAACTATAAACTTACCATAATTTTGAGCTGACGTATTTGCAATTCTATAAGACATTTTAACGTTTTATGATAATTAGCTTTTGATTACTGAAAGAAAGTTATCGTCATTATTAACTCACGGAAAATGACAAATCTTGAAAAAGGATGTATTAGAAAACATTATAACTGAACTGAATTATGTGTTCAGAGACACTCAACTGACTCCTGACTCATTTCAAAAAGTCTTACTAGAAAAGTTCCATCTGAGTGCGTCGGTGGCACAGTGGTTAGGACTCTCGCCGATCATGCACATGGTTCGGGGTTCGATCCTCTGCCGACGCACGGCTGATATCTGTGATCGGCCTGCAAAATTTGGGCTACCGATATCCATGCTGAAAATTCCATACTTGTACCGAAAATACGGTATGGCATCAAGCTGCAATCAAAATAAAAAATATAGCATCCGTTCCTGGTTTTTAACCGTATGATTAATATTGATATTACTCAAAAGTTTCCGCTTCTATTCATCAGATCCAAGAAATCTCGAAACAGATTTTTTCACGTTTTCTTGGTGTACTTCTGCTATCTTTTCGAACGTTACTATTATAAGAACAATTCGGTAGTGTGACATAAAATGCATCCTAAAGTTCCCCTTATGTTCATTTTCTCTGTTTCATGCAGTCTGAATAAAAGCTAATGACATTTCGAAACTGATTCACTTAGTGTTTTGTGAAGTGAAATAAAACTAAAAAGAATCTAACAAATAATTATCCTGATAGTTAATTAAACTTATAACTAAATAGGCATTGATTATGCATAAATTATTGGAATATTTGGTTCCGGTTAAAGAAGGCTATTGGTCATTTTAGTGACTTGAGCACCGTATGACGGTATCTGTGATGCATAGGTAATTGAGAATTAAAACTAATTTGCAGAATTTAACAAAGATTATCTAAATTGCTTAGAGTAGAACCTAACAGCATTCTGTTATGCACTGTGGTCTTGTGAACCAGCCACTTTCAATGCCTTCTTGAAAGTGTATAGGTGCAAGTGACACTGACTGCCCGTTTCCAACAAGTGAATTCACGCAGACAAAGATTTTCTAAGGTATGCCTTAGATTTTATGGAACAAAGGTCTTTTTCCTGGTAATTTTTGGACTGTAGCTTAATTCCACACCGTATTTTCGATACCACTATGGAATTTTCAGCATGTGATATCGGTAGTCCCAATTTTGCAGGTCGACCAATTGATATCAAGTGTGCCTCAGCTTCGGATCGAACTCTGGATCACGTGCACGGTCGGCGACAGTCCTTACCGCTGTGCCAGCGACGAACAGTGTTATAATACAGAATAATTTGCAGAAAATTACTTTTAGATATTAAACGTGATATGTAAGCAGCAGTTAGATCCACATTGGTGTGACAAAATCTTGTTAAATACCAATTGTTACATCTCTAATGAAAACCATGTTGTAAGCATAAGAATAGATGTGTATATGTTCAGTACACTTTTATTCCCACACATTTGAATGCCTCGAAAAAGTGTCTTATAGAGACAGGCAGATCAAACCTCGTAAAAGTGAGTATTATGGATCTCAGTTACTTACAATTCCACTGCACTCACTGTTTTACACAACTAACACAGAACTACCGTTGTATCACACGAATTCCCTGTTGAAGTGTGTAGACCTCATCTGTTTAAGAAGCGTGCTGAAAGTAATTGAACTTTCATTCTCCAAAACCTCTTGCGAAAGTGACCACTTTATTAACAGAACTATTTGCAAATAAATAAAGGTAGAATACCCACTTAGATATCGGCAGTATCAGG